GCTGTTCAGATGCAAAATCAAATAGGATGGTTTCCATCAATGAAATTCTCAAACCTTGTGTGGGTCACAGTTAATCTAAAATTTTACGGATTCTGTGAGGGAATAAGGAGCTGTTGACATGCACGTAACAACACACTGCATGCTGGGCTAATGAACAAATAATCCACCCAAGGCCATCCGAGAGGCATCATCTGTAACCATTTACGATTACTTTTCTTCTCTAGCTATGCACAACAATGAATACAAACTGTTCAACATTTAAATTCAAAGCTTCGTGTTTTAACCTAAAAGTATGGTGTGTCCACTGATTTTAGAAAAGCATGGAGCATGTGTGACTTCACATGCATGTTATGTTTCTAAAGAAATGTTATAAAGTTTCAATTTGGGTTTATTGCTTTCCACCATCTTTGTGAGGTGTAAGAGCCAAAGCAATATAATTTGTGATCCTGGGAGGAGCTCAGGTGGGACAAGTAGAAATCTACAGGAGTGAGTTTTAAGGTTATATACACCCAAACTGCACAACTCCCTTTTTGTACTATTATTAACTTTTAGTGAGACAAAATGTAGTGAGTAGAAATATTTTTCCAAATTTTGTAACCAGTTACTTTTCATAAAGTCGCTGTGCATATTGTTAATGTTGTTGCCTTGTGTTTATACCTTCTGTGACCTTGATCTACATGCTGATTGTTAGCAGGAAGAAAGCAAGAAAGTTCTTGGTTTGAACCTGCTGTTCGACTGGAGCCTTTCTGTGTGCAGTTTGCATGTTCTCCCAGTGCCTGTGTGGGTTTTCTGCAGTGTAAATGTGATGTGATGAACTGGTGACCTGTCCAAGGTGCACCTCTCGCCCAATGTTAGCTCTAATAGGCTCCAGCCCCCTATGACCCCCTACAGAATAAAGTTTGAATAGGTGATGGGTGGAAGGATGGAAGCAATGATATAAATCTAGACTTTTATGTTCTTTTTCTCCAAGACAATATTGTTTGTAAGTATAAAAATATCTTTAAAGCCATTGCGTATGACCTCAAAGCGTGCAGTATGGCTTCTTCTCATCTTTGTCTTAAGAGTAAAACTATTTAGCAGATGTCATCCTCTCACCCAGTGATGTAAGGCCCTGAACTTTTGCATATTTAAGTGACATTTTCATTCTCTTTTAATTTCTAGACCTTGCTGTAAATCTACTTTACGGTGTTAATAAGCTCTATTCTTCACCTCATTCACAGTGATTGTTAAATAAACTGCCGAGTGTCTTGGCTGCATGCACGGTAGACTTTCATAAATACATCATCTGTATGGTTAAATCACGTCCTGAAAATTTGGTCCAACAGTCATTTTGCTAACAAGTAAGCTTTTCTCACGTTAAAGCATTTTTACACCAGATATATCTTCATCTGATCACTGTCAGCTTAGGCCAGACACACAGAGCCTGACTGGGCCAAGCCACAAAGTTAAAAAAAAACCCAAATTGTGAAGCCATACCAGTACATATCTGAATATTAGACCGCTTGATGTTTTAGTTGACTTAGCTTTTCTTTGAGGTTACAGTTGAACTGAGGGTATATTTAAGAATGATGATCATTAATGCAGCTTGCTTAGAAATAAATAAAGATTGCAACATTGTAGGCGTCAATGACACTTCAGTCTTAAAGCAACAGATGATTCACTGCCCTGCAAACCCAATGTTACCCAGATCTCAACTCTAAAATGCTTTGAAAGGGACTAAATGAATGTGTCTCCAAATATGGTCTACCTCTCCCTCTCTCTCTCTGCTTGGCATCTTGATGATGATGGCAAATGACCCTGAGTTAATATGGAGAGCTCGTTAAGGCTCTCAGGGGCTGCAGGATCAAAGTATGGATGTGTAAGGGGGGCAGGGCCCTGAGGTTAAGAGTCTATGTCACTTTCCTGCGAGTTGATGAAAAGTGCAGAGCAGGGTTGTGTCTCTGTGGGCAGCTATGGGTGTGTGTGTGTGGGTTTTTCAGGGTTGGACAGAAAGTTTCCTAGATCCCCCCCAGTGAAGGGGAATGCTGGACTACTGTGCAAAGGAAAGTCTTGTAAAGGCCAATGGAGGTCAATGCAGCATAGACGGCCAGGAAGGGGCAATGAGAGTTGAAAAGCTGCAGTAAGCAGTGTTCCCCTGCCTTTTTTAAAAATATATTTTGCTGAGGACAACAATGTTACAACCATTACGAAAATCTGCTTATGTAATGCAATCACAACATGCTAATTAATCTTTTTTTTTTTTTTTTTAGTATAACAACTCTGGTAAATATGAGTCAGCTAACACACAATAATCTGCACAACCCATCATCATCTGTAAAAATTCCTGAAGCAAAGTCTATTCCTCCAGATGACCCAGTTAACCCTGCATGCCCTCAGAAACTAAGTGTGGGTGTGGCCTGAAAAAGAAATATGGCGACCCATCCTTAGTTTCTGAGGTCCTGCAGAATTCTGCAGATTTGTTTTTGTCTTATAATCACTAGTGTAGAGAAGAAACATTCGTGCTGTTAGCATATTTACCTCAGCTACTGTTTTTTTTTTTTTTGTGGTTTATTCCGCCTACTGTAACGTGTTCTCATACAGCACCTCTTCCTTGCCACATGCACACATGGTTGTAATAATTCAGCACCACTCGTCCAAACTACTGTACTTTGCATCCCATCAAGTGAAATAATCTGAGTAGGCGATTGATAACAAATCTCACATACTCAGCTGGAGACAATTTTGCCCAAATGGATTGCTGTGTTTTCGTACCATTATCAGGCAGTAGCTCTCACAGACTTTTTTTTTTTTAAAGCTGTGTTTTTGTGTTTACTCCTGCATGCAGATGTATGGAGACAGAAACACTATCAAAATTTTTATCTAAACAGCAGAGACCGTTTTTCATACCCCGCTGTCTTTTTATAAAACTGGCCAGGTTGTCTGTTGCTCTGCGGGTGTCTTCCCCCTCCTGGACCAGCAGGAGAGTCCTGGCAAAAACCTTGGTCTACACATTTAACATGTCTAAAACAGTTTTTTTCCTCATGTTTTTTATATTTTTATTTTTTCTTTGTTTCTTGGCAATGTTGCTTATTGGCCATGCATTTCGCTGTATGTGCTTTAGATTAACCTTTGCGTAAATACTTTAACACCACAAGATTAGGGGCATTACGCTGCTCGTTTTATGCTCACAAAGCCTAAACCAATGTTAAAAACCTTAAACAAGCTCAGTAATGATCAGATTCACTTCCTTGTGAGTTGTGGGAAACTTTAACAAAGTATCTGTCATCTGATACAACACCATTGTAAAGACTGACAGGTTTGTTGTGCGCTCTCAATCTACACAACGGAGCTGCCAAACATCTTGTTCCTCTAAAGCACGCTGTTTTCTTCTTTTTGCTATCTCCCATCTGTTTCTAGTCTTTCTCCAAGTTGTGCTTCTGAACTCTCCTGAGATAAACAAATGATTGCCAATGTACAGTTAGGGACCACATTCAATCTTTTTAACAGATGGGGACAAAATATTAAATAACGTTTCCTTACTGCTTTGGTCATACTCTTTGACAGGAGGTGTCTGTGGAAGTGCAACGCATCTCTAAGTCTGTAGGCATCACATTTTTCCAAACCAGTCATTCAACACTATATCATTTGTAAGCCTGGCTATGTTGCTGCATGGACAGGAACTACAGTGGCACATCAGGATAAAGTTAATTTAGTGATTTTGACAGTAAATATAATACTGTGCCTAGGAATACTTTCATTTGCTCTTTTTAGCACAAGAGAATTATAATAATAATTTTATTGAAGATGACTTCATGGAAATTGATCATTTAGCCTTTTCTGACAGAGCTTTGGTTTTCCTTATTTCCCTTCATTACACGTCATTTCTACTTATTAGAGTATGACGTGAACAAATCATAAATGCTGCTAAAAAAAAAAGGATTACTTCAACATCAGTGATTTCAGTAAAGTAGAAGCAAGGTGGAGTGCTTGTATATATTAAATGCATTCCATATAGGTTGCAATCAAGAAAATTCTGTGAAAACCAGCAATAAATCACAATGTTTTCCTTATTTACCTGAATGTGGCTACTGTAATCATTTACAGCATTAGCCCAGATGTTGGCTGTCACAAATCGTAAGCCAATATTCAGTCAAACATGAAAATGACATTTATATTAATTAATCTCTCTCACGTGGCATAGATTAGTAATATTACTACTTTTCTGTTGTTGAGCTTCATGGATATTCGAGTATCAGCTGTCTTTAAAGGCACTTTAAAGGAATTAGCAACCCAGTGTCACCACGTTTGCTAGAAGCTAAACACAAAACCCAACTGGTGAAAGATAAAAATAAATAAAAAGGAAAAAAAAAAAAAAAAAAAAAAAAAAACAATATAAGATTTATTTGGATTAGATACATATTAATGGCTGTAATGTGTTTTATGTGAAGTGATGTAGTAGAAGTTCATTGGTCTGCTTATAAAGATTTCAAATCAAATCAAATCAAGTTTATTTGTTACATACACAATTGTGTTGTGTACCTGGTCCGGCTTATAAGCACAAAACAAGGTACAGTGCAAGAAACAAAGAACAAAAAGCCAGTGTAGGTATATTTACAAGGATATTTATCTCAGTCTTATGAATTAAGTTGGTGAACTGCAATTTGTGGGAAGATGCAACTTAGAGATTATCCACTTCTTTTCATTTTGCCTCACGAGTGCACTGGTCCATAAAGATCGGCAGCACACTTAATAGAAACAGTTTTTGACTCTGATATCAAAGCATTTCTGTCACAGAGATTACCTCAAGAGGCAGCTGGGTCACGATTAACACCGTGATGAGGGAAATTATATGGTATAGTAGATTCTTTTTAATGCTGAAAAGGCAAAACACAGAAAGACGCCTGCAAAGGGGGAGAAGGGTTAGCTTACCGTGGGCTAAAAAGCTGTTTCTCCTCACAATTGTTTTAGTGTTTTGTGGAGTGTGCTTTATGCTACTAAACCTTTCAATCCTTTTCTTTCAGATGTTAACGAATGTGAAGTGGATGAGGGCGGCTGCGAGGGCTACTGCTGCAACACCATCGGCAGCTACTACTGCAAGTGTCCTGAAGGCAGTAGACTGGGTCCAGATGGCAAAGCCTGCCATGGTAAGATGGACATCTGGCTATGGTTGGTGTGCACAAACACAGGCAGACTTTAACCAGGCTCTCTGCCCAGCCAAGGGTTTACTGCGTTGTTTTATGAATGGAAAACTTCTTTTCAGTTTAGAGTGTGAATGAATTGATGTTGAACATGGCTGTTTTGTTTCCAAATTTAGTACAAAAAAATCGAGTGTGATGAATGCTACAGCTATGCTTTAACTACCCGGTGGAGTTTTTAACCTGTAGTGGGTCAATGGAGTAGTTTTTAAGAGGTTTGTGTGAATTATGTATGTATTGGAAGAAAACTAATCAACTTTTTAATTGATTTAAAACTAAACTTTTATAGAGCGTTTTGCACAGATCAAACAGAAATGTCTTCATTCTTACCTCAAACACCGGAGTATTTTGCTTTCCTGCCTAAGTTTACCTTTAGTCCTAAGTCATAAGGACATTATATATTGAGGTAAATGTTAAAGATGTACTTTGTCAATCTCCCTATAGTTTGACAGCTTGATTAACAAGCTTTGCTGTAGTTTTCCTTGCATGTAGTTTTACTAATTTTTAAAGGAGAGTTTTGTTATGCCCCTTTTAACCTTCATCTACAGGTATAAATAGACAATCTGGCAAAGATTTTTCTGTCATTAATATGTACCTTGTGGATTTTTAAAGAATTGTCCATAAACAGCATCTGAACACACTCAACAAATAACATTACTTTCCACTAGTGTCCAAAAAACACATATGTTGCATCTAATTTGTGCCTTTATTTTACTACACATTACAGAAATTTCCAGCTTTGTGACTTTGAGTGAAACACATCCGATGATGAATGTGTAAGACTTATGCTGGAATATGTAGATATTTAGAATAATACTGTTGGTACATTGGTTGTCATTTACACTTTATACATGTAAATGAATGTGTGTTTGGTATCAGGTCAAACTCATCCGTATAAATGAGTTCAATGGCTCTCGTGGTTTTGCAGAAGTATTTATTCCATGTTGACCTACTGAAGACCTGCTAATCTGTCTAGACTTGAGGCTGTAAAGAGCAGGAATAACCACACAGGCAGCACTGCCTCTCATCTAACAGAAATATGCCGAGTTAGGTTGGGGCACTGAGGCCCATTTGTTCCTCAGAGCTGCAGGTGTGAACAAGTTTCCGCTGACCTTAAACCTTTAGGACAGGATATTGTCACTCTGTAATAATTTAAAGCCTGAGAAGTTACTGGAGAACTGGAGAAGTCGGACGGAAGCAGCTTCAGCAGCTGTGAAGTTCTTCTTTCACGGGTTTTTGTGTGACTCGTATGTGTGGTCGTATTTATTGGAAAAGACAGCAAGTTTGAGTTTAAACTGTAGCAGAAAGAGTTTATTTTATTTGCTTGAGACTTTTGCATTCCAGAAACTATGAGATTTGTAAAACTGCTTACTCTGATATCTTGAGGCACCAACATTGCTATTCTTTTATATATCCCTTAAGAAAGCACAAACATATCTAGATTCCTGCTCTCATATCACTGTGGCATACCCTCTCTTTGGTTTTCTGTAAATTCAGCTCCTGCTGCATTCCGACCACCTGTTGATTTTTTTTTCGCTTTGTGCCACTCAAGCAGAGCTCCCACGTATTCGGTGTGCCACTTTGTCTAGTTGTAGATGCTAGCTCAGCAGCTCAGCTCAGAGCCAGACGGTGTCACACGATACCATTCAGACCTCGTGCCCCCTGACCTCCGACACCACCGCCACCGCTGCCGGCCCTGCTCCCGCACGCACCGCCTCACCCATCGGTGAAAAGCTGCCATTGTGAGTCCCCCATTGAAATCCTTTCACATGAGGAGACCAATAAGTATATTAACCTTGACAAACCTCCCTCAGTGTCCATTGTTTTGCATTCTAAGCATCCTCTACAATAGCTGCTTGTGTGTTAAAGCACAAAAGAGCCGTGCTTCACAGGAGGTCGTATAGTGAATGTTTACTTCAACGTTCATGCAGATGTCCAAATAAATTGGGCAAACAAATATCCTTTTTCCTGATCACACTAGTCTTACACTTGGGTCATGAAAAGGATTATTTTACCAGCACACGGCCTCCACTTTAACATCCCTCCTCCCCATTGCTCCTATAATTGGACACAAGATAATTAAAATAGTCCTGAGATCATTTTGGAGCGAGCCTTTCCCACGGGTTTGCCAGGGAGGTGAGAGTGCACAGAGAGAATACATACACATACACAAACGAACGCACACACGCAAACTATTTGAAAATGATTCGTAATATTTACGCTGCTTAGGAAGTGCTCTGACCTCCGAGGAACCAGCGAAACGATGGTAGTGTTGTGCTTGCTCAAATAAACTGAACCACATGTTCCTAGTAACAAGAAAGGAGAAAGAACAGCACAATTTTACCCTCTTCGCACACTGTCAATGCTGGTGTGAGCCAAAAAGCCAGGGATGACATGCGGGAGGAGGCTGCATGATGCGTTGTCCAGATGTGTAGGATCGTCCTTAAATGGAGTGTTCAGGTATGCTGTCTTCACAGTTTGTTTCTGTCTCCGTGGAACTCAAGTCTCAGTTCGACACATGTGCAGCTATGTAGACGCTCCGCTGAGGTGCTGTGCAGGAAGCAAATTGATTGCATGCATACTACTGCACACACAGTATGATAAGCCATTCATCATTCACCCCAAAGACACTGTACATGCATGTTTCTTCCTAACAGCACTCAGAGCACAGGGTCAGTGTGGCATCATGTTGCTGGAGCAAGTGCTTGCTCACAGATGCATTAATTGTATTTATAGAAACTACATATAACAAAATTACTATTAGTAAGTGGGAATAGTGGGACCTCAGCAATACTCAAAGTACAATGTCTGCAAAAGGTAAAACAGAAAAAAAAAAACTGGAGACGTGGTCAAAATAACATAATTACAGCTCATTATCTGTAGTGCCGTAAAACCGTGCTTTTAATCTTCCCCTATTTGGCCCATTGCAAATGGAATATTTAATCATGCCGCCTCAAAGCTGGATGCAAGATTTTATGAAGGATATAAAAGCCTTGATTGCAAAATGCTTAATTTAAGCTTCCATTCATTTAAGACTTATTTTCCCACAGTTGACCAAAGTTGTCGATACTCATTGTTCAGCTGAGCTCTAATTTTTAATCTAAAACACGAATCAGTCAGAGAAGTTGTTTATGCGGCCTTCAGATTGTGCCATATTCATAAATAGAATGCTTGTAAATTAAATTTTAGAAACAGTCTAGTGAACTCAAATTTCTGTCTGACTTTTAACGACTTCTGTGGTGGTTTGAGGCTTTGTGCAGTTTTGTAGCAACATTCTGTTCCACAAATGATTGGATTGTGTGAAGAGTTTTTTTTATTTCTGCTCATATGAAATGCGTGTGTGTGTGTGTGTGTGTGTGCGTGTGTGTGTGTACAGATGTTAATGAGTGTGAGGAACTCAATGGAGGATGCCAGCAAACTTGTGTCAACATACCGGGCTCCTACCACTGCGAGTGCAGCGAAGGTTTCCGCATGCACACTGATGGTCGGACCTGCATTGGTGAGTAATAAACAAAAGTATTTATTACAACTTGTGGCAACCATTTTCTCTCTTCTCCTCCCACACACAGCATTTTTCCCACATTAATAATGCAGGGTTTTTTGGAAGGTTTTCTCTGTTTTGCGGAGGGAAATCACAGATACGTTTTTTAAAAATTTGCCTTCTGTGCTTTTAGGAATAGTTTTGAGAAATATTTGATTACACTTCAAATATTTATATCACTTGTCCCCTCCTTCAATTTTCCTTTTGGAGCTGGAGCCAGTAGCCAGTTAGCTTAGCATAAAAAGCTTAATAGGATATAAATGTATTAACTATGGCAGCATGGCCATCTGAGATTTCCTTATGTGCCCTTTTGGCTAATGGCCTCTTCACACATGGTGCAAACATGTGGCCCCTGTTGGCTCCCAGGAGACTTGTTTCACACTCTTTTCATTTCTTTCCAAAGTGTCTAGTGTGAGAGAAAACACAGAGAAGTACCTGCATGTTTAAATGTATACTTTATTACATAAAAGAATAGAAGTGCCGACTGCTGAGCTTCACTGAATAGTCTGTGTCCAGAGAAAGAGAACTTCTGACATGATTTAAAAGAGGAAATACAAGGTGGTAAAGTACTTTTTCCCTTTTTAGCACCATAAAACCTGTAGGTAATGAGAGAATTTGTTGCACGCTGAAAACCTGCACTCCTCTGTTTCTTTTGGTCCGATATATTTTCTCCTAATACTCCCATTTGCCAGCTGCAGCTTTGTATTAAAGGATAGATATAGGGGCAGAGTGATGGCTAATTGTGTCTGCTGAAGCCATCAGTGTTAAAAACCAGCCGTTCTTTCAGTTTTACAGCCTGGCTGTGTCATCATGTCTGTGTTTAGAGCACCCAGAAGGCGTACGGCTAATATTCATATTTGGCACGTCATTATGTCACAGGAGTGATAGGATGGAAAGATCATTAAAAAGTAACCATGGGTACCTCACTGGACCCTGGAATATCATTTTCCAGTTTCCAGCTTTTACCCAAGTGTTTTCCATAAGTATGCAGCTGCAGAATTTGAGGTGTGAAAGCCTGTTTGGATTGCCAACAAATTCAATTATATCTTGCTGTCCCCTGTGAAATGCTGTACAACTGTGAAAGTTTCACAACTATTAAAAGTATAAATGGACACCTGAGCTGATGGCTTTTATACTTATTTACAATTTCTGCTTTTTGTGTTTAAGCTGTGAATTCTTGTTCGGTGTTGAACGGCGGATGTGAGCACAGATGTGTGGACATGGGGAACAATCACTACAAATGTGAGTGTCGGAAGAACTATCAGCTGAAGAGAGATGGAAGACACTGTGAATGTAAGTCGTTCTTTTAAATCACTACAATAAGTTATCTGTCTGAGGTGCTTCAATGTGGACCAAGTTACAGCTCAAGCAAAGAATTTTTGGCTATTTCTAATGTGCAAGGCAGGAAAATGTAAAGAGAAAAAAAAAGGAATTTGAGGAGCGGGAATTCATATTAGTCTTCTTGGACCTTAACATGTATTTATTAGTTTTACGAGGGATCTTGTGATATCATTGCCAGATTCACAGTATGGGAAAGCGTTTTTGTGCAGTTTCTGAATAAGAAGGAAGAGGTGGCCCCTGCAGGAGTTAAATTTAGATGTTGCTCTAGAGTTGAGAATTAAAACTGCCATTACGAACCAACACAGAATAGTTGGACCTGGCTTTAGTTTTTTGGTTTATTTGTGTGTCTGTTTGTGTGTGTGTGTTAGTGAAGGACCCCTGTCAGGACAGGAATGGAGGCTGTGCCCAGCTGTGTGTTTCAGAAAATGACCGAGTTCACTGCAGCTGCCGACCCGGTTTTACACTGCCCGGAGATGGCAAGAGCTGTGACGGTGAGGAATTTCTCTCTCACACACACTCATGCACACACAAAAAAATACACATCAGACAGCTACAGCAGCAGTTCACCAACTGACATGGGACACCTTTTTAAAGTATGTAAAGTCAGCACAGCAGCACTGAAAAGCAGGAGATAAAATTATGCAATTGTGGGAATTTTACTGGCACCCATCCAATGATATCCAGATTTTCGCCTGTGGTTCAGCTTCAGAGCTACATCAGTTGCGACATCAGCGGATGACTGTTTCAAATCGTTTGGCATTCTTGTCAACAGTTTTTTTCTGAAAAAGCATTTTTTATCCTCTTTTCTCTACTTTTGTGTTTTTCAGTAAAATAGTCACGAAACCACCCACTAGGGAGCTTTTGACACATTGTTCTGGTTCAGAAAATCATTCAACAATGGGAAAAGAATAACTGCACCACTGTTTAAAAGAATTACATTTATGGTTTTTCCATAAGTTACAGCCACATTCAAGCTCTGTTTGGAAGCAAAGCAATCTGCCCTACAACGGACCTGAATCACTCTGGGCCTGATGTTGGAAACTGTCCTCACGATTCATCTCCCTTACATTTCTTCTGCTCCTGGAGAGGCCAAAGTAATGCGAACCCTGACAAAGCCTTCTTTTCAGAGGAAGAAGTGGCTATATTGTTTGGAAATCCTTTACACATTCATTCATTTTTAAGATGGCAGCACTTACTAAGAAGTGTGACTTAGACTCCAAGTTGGTGTATGATCTATTTGTGTCAGTACAAATGTGTGCTTGTTTCAAAAACTATTTTTTATTGCAATATGAAACCCTTCTGCTCCTCAGAGTCAGCTGCTTCTTGGCCAAGAGAGTCAACATACTTAATTCCAGTAAATAATTTGAAGACTACAAGACATTTATCAACTCCATGAGCTCCTCAACATGACCCTGAGACACATTGTTGTGTTTTGCAACATTATAAAGCAGATGAATCTCTGATACAATCTGTCTGCTCATGTAATTTTTTTTCTGTCTTTGTGCATCTGTCTACATTTGCCACATCTGTGTAAACAAGCACATCTGTGTGGATTAATATCTGTCTCCTATAGACATTGACGAGTGCAGCTCCGGCCGTGCCAAGTGTTCCCATGGTTGTGTCAACATGCTGGGTTCCTTTAGCTGTGTGTGTCATCCGGGTTTTGAACTTGGTGCTGATGGGAAACAGTGCTACCGTGAGTAAAGAAAGTAGAAGACTGAATCCACCTACTGCTGTATCTTTCTTTGAGAAAATGTGTAGATCACCTTCCCTCAAATTCTCTGCATAATGTCAGTTAAAAAAAAAGAAAAAAAATCATAGAACACATGGATCTTGTAAACAAGGAAAAGAAACCAGCGGAACAATAAATTATTCACACTTCATTGCTGACCATTTGTAAATTTAACTTGTTTGTCTGGTAAAGTTTTACACAATTTTTATGGTCACAAACTTATCATTTTCTCTGTATAAAACACACCAGTGCCTATTTAGCTTCTTGTATTTTGTAACTTTAATGTGTCTGCAGTTTGTTACCAAGAAAAAGAGAGTTGGGCAGGACAGACTGACACTTGAAGTTAAACATGCTTGAATAGTTATTCACTTCATGGCTGTAAATGAAAGAAAGATAGAACTTTGATACCATTAAGGGAATCAAGCTGCCCTGTAACTTGTGTGTATTCTTGCAACACTTTTCCTTTCCTTGAAAACATCAAGAGTTTTAAGGATGAATCCAAATCCATGTCTATTCTAAATTCATCATCATTCGGTAGGTAGAGCACTTAAAAGGCTGAAAGAAACATGATTCACTTTTCCGACACTGTTGTAATATAAACCATATTTGTGCTCAAACAGGGATTTTCCCCTGTTCTTCTGTCGCAACTAATTACAGGACTGGGACAAACCAAACTAGTCCTTATTAGCCAGAAATGCCCCACAACGTTGTCCTGATGTTTCAGCTCTGGTTGTATATTGTAGCCATGGTTTTGGTCCTCTCACCTCCAGGCATAGAGATGGAGATTGTGAACAGCTGTGAGAAGAACAATGGAGGTTGCTCTCATCATTGTGAACACACCACCAACGGCCCTCTCTGCTCCTGCAACCAAGGCTACCAGCTAGACCAAGACAGAAAGACCTGTGTAGGTGAGACACTTCTCTGACGATAGTTTTGTAAATCAGAATTTTTTTCTTCCATTTTTCAGTTTACTTTCATCAACTTCCCGACTCTCCTGTCTTACTGGTTATCTGTTGAGATCAACTCTATCCCACTTTGTGCCTTCCTCAGACAGTAATGAGTGTGTCAGTGAGGAGTCCTGCTGCAGCCACTTCTGTAGAAACTATCCAGGCGGCTACGAGTGCAGCTGCAGAGCCGGCCACAGACTAAACCCAGACGGCTGCGGCTGTGACGGTAAGAGTGCAGGCTTGTTAGCAGATTACCTCGTCTGGTGCTTTTGAGTGTTTTCTGTGTTGTGGCTCAGCTGTGCAGGACACCGATTCGCATAGCTTGTATACTAACTGATGGCTCAGAATTTAAGCCTTTCAAGGCCGGTTCATAACAGAAAACAGAAAAACAATTTGGCTCATGCAAGAGCATACTTTGTACAATCGAATGGAACTGCCAGATGGGTAGAAGATGTTGAATCAAATGAAGACACTGAGGTGAAACTAAAGTCATGGCTTCGTCTGACTGGAGCAAAATTACAAGGTGCACCTGAGCTCCCTCCAGCGCAACCTGTCTGCCATTGAACTCGTGCATCGCAGCGCGCAGCCTGCTTCCAGTTACGATGCTACACTGGAGTTGTGTTGTCATTAACCTTTTCTTCTGTTAGACATTGATGAGTGCCTGGCGGAGACCTCAGGATGTGAACACTACTGTGTCAACACTCTGGGAACATACGAGTGTTTTTGTCGACTGGGTTTCCGCTTGGATCAGGACCAGCACTCTTGCATCTGTGAGTCACACTTGCTTTGTAGTTATTCCCAGATTCGACAATCTTTATCGAATTAATTGCTTTAATTAAAAGAAATTAGGCAAATTGCAGATTATATAGCTCCAATTTTATCATGACCCTAACGTTGGACCGGGTATGTTCAGCCCTGTATGGCAGAGAACTGGAAGAGGAAGAGGACGAGGAGGAAGAAGAGGAGGAACAGCTGGAGGTTGACAGATTACCGGACTTGCTGTTTCGCAAGGCTCCTCAGCTCCTGCAGTACACAGCAGCCTTGCGCTCCCATTATGGCAGCGAGGATGATGACGATGAAAAAGAGTTAGAGATCCAGAGAGAGCGCAGGGGAGAGCTTCGAGCGGACAGCCACATAGGTATAGTAAACAGCGTGAATGATCACACTGAGGTGTGCGGCTTGTCAAATCAACATTATTTTATTGTTTTCCTGTTAAATCACTAGACCAGGAAGTTATGAAAAGGAAAACTTATTCTCACTTCACTATTTCTTTTTTAGTGTGTTTTGATGGCTCATTTGGGGATGACTGCAGTGCGAGCTGTGAAGACTGCGTGAACGGAGCGTGCGGTGAGAGCAGAGACAGATGTGACTGTTTACCAGGCTGGACGGGGCTCGTCTGCAATGAGAGTAAGAAAGTTAATAGGGCCTTCAACAGGCGTGCTTTTGTTGGTGACACAAACTCATGATAATGCATCTGTGTGATAAATTCTGTGCAAACTTACCTTCATCCCTCTCATCTAAGTACCTGAATGTAATGTTTTCCTTCACAAAAGGGGGTGACCAAAATGTTTTTGTCAAGGCTGACATAGATACAGATTAGAGACAGATAACTGAAATTATTTAGAACTGATACACATTTGTAGTAAAAATGCAATAAATGATCTTGGTGTCAAAGTTTAGAAGAACACAACCTCCACCAGAAGTAGCACATCAACTTATCTTATTGGAAATCAGTTTAAAAAAGTACCCATACCAATAATTGGAATAACGATGAATGAAGCTACGATGAAGAATCTGAATCATTTCAAACGGCCAAGGGCTCAACTGCAAAATCACACTTTAAAAAACATTTGATTCCATTTTTATCGCCAGACTTTTATTTATATGTGTAGCTGAAACAGAAATGTGTGAGTGTTTGACACAAGAAGAGTAGATTGATTTTGTAGTTGTTTAAGAAAAGATGCTGAAAAAGCGGGTTGGCCAAACGGATAATTAGTCAATCCATAATCCATATACTTAATATTAAGTTTTCTCCAGCATGCCCTGTAACTATTTAAAGAGACAATTCAACATTTTCAGAAACATACTCATTCCTTTTCGTGCCTAGTGCTATATTTGAAGATAGATATGAGCTACAGTCAGCAGCAGGTTAGTTTAACTTCGCATGAAGGCTGGTAATGGTGGAAAGCAGCTATTTTTCTCCATCCAAAAGTAACTAAATCTGTATAACAGCATTTTTAAAACTCAGTAAACCAAAATGTGTTAACCATTTATGATGTTAGTTGACTATTTCTTCGCTGGGTTCACTGGCTTCTTGGAGTCTCTTACATTTGCTGTAGTACAAATTAATCAAACATGTGTGAGTGTTCGAGGGCTGTTGGTTGTAGCGTTGTATTTATTATAGAAGTGGTACATGGTGATAAAGAAGTGTGTTTTTCAAAATGTCGAACTGTGTCTTTAGAAGTTTGGGGACCTGAATATTTCATTCTGCAGAATGGAAAAATATAAATGATTGTCTTGCTCATTTTTAGATGGGAGACCAAAATGAATCAATCAACACATACATGACAAGCAGATAATTTTAACAGTACAGGACACAGGCACCTGGTTTTTCCCACAGGACACATCCTCTTCTATTTGAACTACCTATAGCAATATGGTATAGTTTAAGACAGAGATGACATAGCTCCCTATGCGCATCGATCCAGGGCCATGTATCAAAACCTGTCGGCTCCTCAGTGTGGGAGGCTTGGTTGTTTATGAGCTCCAGACCACAAGTGGACCAGGGGAATCAATCTGTCTGCTACTGGAGTGTGGCCAGAGCCCACAGCAAAAGCACAGCCTGAGGCCAAGGATGTCCACTACTGGGTTAGAAAGCAAGGCTCCATTGTTCCCATCCAGCTCTGTGATTAATGGCTGTCTTTGGTCTGAACCCCAGTCACGCTGGTAATCATAGGAGAAGAGCCACGTGGGAGATTAGTTGGGTGGAAGCAATCTGTCACTTTTGGAAACATGCGCCTGAGGTGGCAGCATTCAGATGCACACCCTGAAGGTGATGGGTCTGGACAGCATTTTCAGGTGGAGTCGATGAGCAATAATGCTGCCTGAGGCAAAGACATGGAAAATGTTGCAGTAGGTAACAACATAGTGGTCTATGGAGGGAAAAGTTGGTCAAAATATGAACGTTCTGTGGCCTTTAGAAAGACAGAACATTTTGCAATTTGTCTTCGCTGACTTAATAGGCTTCACCTCAGTCTTGTTTTGTGTAAATCTCATTTAATGAAGTTGTAGCTAGAAAGAAATAGAATGACCTAATTTAGACTTCTTACACTAAATCAGCGGTTCTCAAATGTTTTCTGTCAGGCCCCCCTTCAGAGGACAAAAATCTTTCAGCCCCCCCCCCCCTAAAAAAGCAAGAAAAGAACCAAGTTAAAATTAACGAAAATAAAAAACAAGAACAAGCAAAAAAGGCAACAAAAAACTGCCCAAGGAACAAGAAAAAGAAAAAGAAGGGGAAAACCCTCAAGTTTGCAGGGGGAAGCCCCGCAAGCAATGGTGAAAACAAAACAAAAACAAGGGGGAAGAAGAAAACCCCAACCAATGGAAGGGCCTTCCTGCAACTGGCAAATCCGGTAAAAGGCCCCAAAACAAACTTTCCAAAGGCAACAACGGGGCCAACAAACTTCCTCAATGGGCAAAACAAGCAAAGAATTGGGCCCCCCAACCCCCTAATTTGGGTCAACAATGCCAAAACCAATAAAGCAACAAGCAACCGGTTTTGCAAAAACTAATTAAGGTACAAAGAATTTCAAGGAAAACAAAACTGAAAATTAAAAAAAAAAAATTAACCTTAAAATATATGTATTTTGTCACCAATCATCTTCTAACATCAGTCACTAACTGAACACAGGCTAAACAATAACTGAAAATGCCCATGGGTAGATGCTACATTTTACCGATGTTCCCTGAATGCCTCACATGCAGCACCTCTGATAGGTGAGTGACCAAACATTTGTTGGAAAACAGTGGAATGCGCGTTCTACACAAAATTGCCCAAGTTAAAAAGTTTTCTATAAGCAGTGTTTTTTTATACTACTGGCCATCATGTTGTTAGAAAAACTGTGATCGCTGTTACAATGTGAATCCGGGGGAATCAGCTTGGAATTACTTCATGGAGTACGTTAGTGCCTTTTGTTAAATCTACATCTCATTTAGTTCTTAGGAATCATTTTAAAAAGAACTATTTACATGTAAAGGTATTTTATGGTAGTTAACCAGCTCTCGTAGTTTCCTCATAATACCTCAGTATTCTTTAAGAAACTCTCCAGCATCATGTTTGTCATTATGGTGCAGGAACAATATCCCTTCATCCTGCCCACTTTACTGTTCATTTACTTCGGTCTAGTGCAAGTGAAAGCGCCACTTAATCTTTGTGTGAAAAATATTCATGAAACTTTGGTAATATGCTCTCTGTGCCCAAAACACTTTCTGCCCCTTCTGCAGGATATGTTATTTACAAAGTGTTTTCAATGTTTTTTTTTTGATATTTGATATTTTGATTTACGCTGCTTTTGCTTTTTTTTTTTTTTTTTTTTTAAAGCTGGTTTATCCTCCTGTTGAGTGACATAAAACTGTTGTGAAGTAAGCGTGTCATGGAATCTAAAGCAGACATTAACTTGATGGATTGTAACACTTTAACACATCTTAAACAGCCAGCTGGTTCATGTCGGAATTGCTAATGAGGCCAGTGAGATTAAGAAAGTCAGGCGAGCGCATACCATGGAGAAGGAAAGGATGGAAGGTGAAAGCGTTTACTGACTTCTTAACACGAGAGTGAAACCCCAGCTTTGGCTGCAATCACTTTCCCCTTTCTGTGTATGTAGCTAAGTGTCTTGTTGTCGAACAAATGCTGCACAGTTTGATCCGTTAAGTAATACTGCATCTGTCAAAAAGTGAAAACTCCGCCTCCTCTTTCTGCAGCTTGTCCACAGGGGAGCTATGGAAAGGCCTGCAACAGTCTGTGCCGTTGTCAGAATGGAGGCTCGTGTGACCCTGTGACTGGGAAGTGTTTGTGCCCCCTCGGGGTACAAGGCCTGCTCTGCGAGGATGGTTTGTATACACACATTCCTACAGAGACACAAACACAGTGCACTCACACGTGTGACCACAACCACCAGGGTTAAGGTGGTCAGCGTGAAGGGTCGCACGCTGTTTGACTTTATAGTTGAACTAAAAGCGAGTTTATCCTCCAAAATTGTTTCATTTGAATCATTTCCAAAAGGCTGAGACGATAAAACCACAATGCAGTGGACAGAAATTAAAATTTGAGAGAGGTCAGAAAATAAAGCATAATTATGTTAGATGTTAGCGGATACATTTTGTTTTATCTTATGTGGGCCATATCATTGTCATCAGTCTTGTGATCACTGCTCCATATTACCCTTAAGTGTTTGCCAGATGTTTGGTTAAAATCAAGTTGTTGTTTTTTTTAACCTTGTCAACACGCCTACATGTAGTTTTTTCTATCTTAGAAGACACTTCATGAGCAAAATAAGGAAGCAACGCCATGGCTGAGCATTTCCTCCTTGAAACTACAATGCACCAGAAACAGTCTCAAAAACACAGATTCGGACTTCTGGGGTTTCATATGTGACAAACCTAATGAAGCAATCCTTGTGGGGTTGACATTTATAGCTTCATTTCTACGCTCCTGCAACTTGCCATTGTGTACTGTAGAGTCCTCTTACAGTGTTTGAACAGAGTCATAGGTGAGCTGGTGTGCTCGAGCTGCAGCGAGTGAGGAGGAATGAAGGGAGAGATATGGGGACCTTTATAGATCCTAACATTGTAATGAAAGCAATGGTGTGTTATTGAATCAAAGCCATTTAAAGGCACAAATGAATTGTTATCAAAGAAAAAAACGTGTGAATATTTAAGTTTGATACACTATTAAAAATGCCCTCTTATAAATGATGAATGGGTGCTGCATTTTGTTTTTGATTTTATCAAGCAGTTGCCCTGTTTACATGTTGGCCTTTGCCCTTCTTAGAGTGGAGTTCATTTTAGAGAAGCAGGGATTTTACCCTAAAAGGTCACTGACGTTATTTTTTCTCACAGGTTGCCCAAAAGGTTATTTTGGAAGGCACTGTAGAAATAAATGCAACTGTCCCAACAATGGACCCTGCCATCGTCTGTATGGAGCCTGCCTGTGCTCTCCGGGATTATATGGCCGTTTTTGCCACCTCGGTGAGTAAAACGTTAAACAATGCACGGTGGATGCTGTCACAAAATTTAAAAATTACTAACTCCTCATGATTACAAGTTTAATGTCAGTAATAACAAAATGCGTTACAATCATGTGAGATATTAGAAACTCGTAACATATCAGGCAAGAGGGAATGATCTTTTCATTGTTACTCATTGCTGTGTGTTTTCTTATTTCCCTGGATAACTGCCTGCATAGATAATAATGTGAACACGAGAATATATGAAAAATGTTTAACAATCCAAACCATTTATGTTTTACTCAAGGTTTTGGTGTTGGCTGCTAACATAGGTTCATACAAAGCCACTGCACACTTTGTTAGTTTTTAAACATTAAACTGCTATCACCATATTAGTGTTCTGTACAGAATTTACATATGATGTGTACATATTCTCAGCCTTCCATTTCCTTTCGACATCAAGTTTACACTGACACGTCGCTTGCTGTACTTAGACGTTTTGATGGTGGCACCAGGTGAGAAGGCAGCTCTCTTGGGAGCCAGTAGCCCTCCAGTTTTCCCTCGATAAGGTGAACTGCCAGGGCAAACTCCTCATTGTCCAGCATGCCATCTCCATCTATGTCGGACAGCCTCCAGATATGGGCGAGCACAGAGTTGGGCAGGAGAGTGGTCGTCATCCACTCCTTGACTTTGGTGCCGCTGAGTTTGCCCTCATTTGGACTGAGATTGTAGAAAATCTCATCATATTTGGGTTTGTACTTCTCCACCACCCAGTCGTCAAAATCTATCTCACTGCTCTCATCATCTCTGGGCAGTTCTTTGAATGGATCTCTCCTGTAATGTTCACGCCTGAATGTTCCCAGAAATTCCCCGTCCAGCATGCCAGGGAGGGATTTCTTCCTTTGTTCTTGTTGTTGCAGTAGAGGAACCAGGTTGGCGATGTCAGTGCTGAGGAGTTTATCCAAGGAAGCCATTAGACTTGGTTTCAGTGTCTTGAACTTTGAGAAGTCTTGACCCAAAAGTTTCTCCTGAAAATGGATGCAATCACATGTGAGGCTCACTTAACACATATAAAGGAATGCATTATATTAAACAGGGTGTTCAGACAGCAGTTCAGTTGTTCAACCTGCATCTTGGTGCAGTCAGGGAAGTCGCCGGCTGGGACTCGATGCTGTTGCTGGATCTTGTTGAAAATTACAGGAAGCTGGTAGATCAGATTGTGCTTCTTGCTTTCTTTGCAAAAAATGGTTGGCATCTCCTGCTTCAGATAGCTGATAATGTGTGCATGAGCCTGGGAAGAGAACAAATGAGACATAAAATCATCTTAACAGCAGCTGGATTTGTGATTCTACACCTAGTATCGGTTAAATCTGTGAATGTCAGATGATCTCTCACCCTCACTAAGCGCGCCCTCTTAACCAAGTCATTCAGCTTGCGTACTGCAGCATTGCGTGGCAGGTTCCTTATGTCAGCCAAAAGGTCCTCTTCCTCCAGCTCTATCAGCTGGTAGTGGTCGCACATCTGCCTCGGCTCCGACCAGAAAGATCCGATGTAAACCCGCAAGATCTCTGGGGTTCGAAACACTTTCCCCAGCGACCACATGAGGGCGCCGTACACTCTCATGAGCTGTTGGGAATCCACCCTGTCAGCTTTGTTGAGAACGACACGCAGCTTGTCCTCGTAGCCGCAGAGAGCCCCAAAGGCCCGAGTGAGCTCATCAGAGAACTCCAGCTTATGCGCATCAAACAGCAGGATGATTCGATCCACACGTTCTGCGAACCAGCGCAGCACTGCTGGGAAGTCGTAGCCTAGGGTCAAGGAGCAAAACACAGGGTTTTGATTAACACTGTATTTAACAGGGCAAGCGTCACAGCCTGGAGGCATAAAGGAACATGGAGCACATCCCAGTCGTCCTCACTGGTTTCAAGCCATTTCAGTTACACCCAAAGAAAAATGCGTCCATAAAACAAACCAGTTGCTGCTCGTCTCCTCCCAGCTCACTGTCATATTACTTTCATCTGCTGTGCTTCTGACTTCAAGTGTTTGAATTATGTTTCTTCTCTCATAGGAGTTTACATTATCCCCATAGCAACAAGGCAGTCCAACATCAACAGTCTGAATATATGGAAGACCTTTTATTCGCTCCGACACTAGAAAGGACATTAGAAAGCATTCTTTCTCACCTCGGCTTAGTTTTCTTTTAGCAGCTGTTAAGATTCCTGGCGTGTCAATTATGCTGATGCTCTCGAGGACCTGATTTGGCATCTGAACACATTGAAACCTGCAAAGAAACAATGGTTAAATGGAATGCATTCAAAATGAGTGAATTGTCGCAAATATTGGCAAAGCATCACCCATGTCTGTTTATATCAGTATTTCTGTTATTATGGATGCAGAACATATGCAGAGACTAACTTTTTAACATTTCTTTACTGAAAAAAGTAAAACAAAACAAAAAAAACATCATTAAAAGCCCATGATCTCCTCTCCTTCCTTTCACCACTGTCATTCCTTCTTCACGTTTCACATCACCTGTTCAGAAACGAATTTCCAAAAGGGTCAAGGTTGCGAAAGGGCTTTTTTGGATCCACTGTGAGGGCATTCCCAGGGATGATTCCTTCCGTTTCGCCATACATGAGGGCGGTGAAACAGTCAGTAGTTGGCTCTGGCCCAACTCTGCTACCAGGAAAATCTTGCTCTATGAGATACCTGAAGACACACATGGTGCAAACCACCACTGTCATCACATGTTGCTTCAAGCGCAGTGCTTAACAGACGCACACATCAGCCTTGTTTAAATCCTCATCTTTACCTGATAAAAGTGGTCTTTCCTGTTGAGTACTGACCCATCACCAGCACCATTGGTTTGTTGTCAAAGTCTGCGTCCTCGTAGCTCGGTGAGTGAAAGTGATGGAAGGAATAGTATTTCTCTATCGGCAGCAGCCTCTTATAATAGAGAGTCTTCAGCTCTTCTGTCACCATGTTGATGTCCCCCAGCGTTTTAGGGGTGCTCCTAAACCTCCGGAAGGACATGGCGATGAAGTTTTGCTCCTTATTTCCCCGGCGTGGAAGCTCCTCACTCTTCTAAGACCAAACTGAATGATGGAAGACTGTGCACAAGGAATATTATCAAATTCTCACAGCTGTCTGCTCCATCCTGCAGCGGGACGTTGAGAGGGTGGAGAGGGTGTAACCAGAGCCTGCAGCTGCACCTAACATAAAGCCAATGTGGAGAGGGACAGGGTGGAGTGCAGTTCAGTTTTTTGTTGTTGAGCAGGGACAATCTTGGCAAGATTCATCCAGAGCGATTGTTCTAAACACGAGATGAGGATGTGGCAGTGCTGAGGTTTTCAAAGTCATGCATAACACTTCTATTGATGAAATACTTCTCTGTATGTTATGAAGCTTGGAGAAAAGTACCTAAAACTATTGCTACAACACCAAAATCACTTTTAGCTACTATTTAGTTGAGCTCAAACTTTTGCAGGAAGGCAATAGCACAAATAGGCTGATGAATGATGCACCATAATTTGCATTAAGTTCAATAAATCAAGTGAAACCGGAGGAAGTGGTCACATGACTTAAACTAGCAGAGGTCTGACGCTGTGATAACATGGTGGTCGGGTGTGTTTGTTGACTTATACTAAAATGTAATTCGATAGTTCAAAAAAAAGGTTTCATTTCAACATTTTTTTTCAATTAACTTTGGCCACCTAAGCTTTGAGAAACAAAAACCAGCCTATAGAGAATTTGCTTTCGTAGCTTAGCCTTCAAAAAGCTCATTTCAAGTCGTTTCAGTACAGCAATATTGCAGGGCTTGCGGTTATATAAGTGTAAGTGGTGTATTTTTTTTGTTCAACATCATACAAACATGAGAACATTCTTTGTCGTACATCGGCTGAACTGATGCCTTTTGTCTGTTTTCATCCCGTCCGCCCCTCAGCTTGTCCCAGGTGGACGCACGGCGCAGGCTGTTCCAAGGAATGCGACTGTGTTCAAGAACATTCCACTGGCTGTGACCCCAAAACAGGGAGCTGTTTCTGTAAAGCTGCATACAGCGGTCCGCAGTGCGAGAAAGGTATAAGCTGCACCAAATGCCAAGAAGTGGTTAAGATTTTGTGTTCAGTTACATCAGCTGCCTCACCTGCACTTCTTAGCTCGAAGTCGATGTAGAGAACCCGCGACTATATCGAGCATTTCAAAGTTTCAGATGTCATAATGTTTCTTTCCTGTTGCAGTAACGCACCAGTAATGTGAACCGCTGAGGGGAAATATACTTGGAGTCATGCTATTTCCTTTGCAATGCAGTTTTGATCTCGGCCTATAACAGAAAAGCAGTTAGAGGATCAAGTCAACTGTCTACTCGACATTATGTTACAAAATCTTTTAATCTCCATCATGTTAATCTGTTCTTGTATGTGTTTGTCCCAATGTAGAATGTGATCCAGGCTTCTTCGGCGCAGGCTGTGAGCAACCATGTGACTGTCCAGGTGGAGGGTCATGTGACCCCAGGACTGGAGAGTGCAGCCAGCGATGTCCTGCAGGCCTTCATGGAGATAAATGTCAGCTGGGTGAGATGAAAAACTGCAATTTAAATGACACACAAAGCTATTTCTATAAAAGAATGTAAGTGCATAGCGTAAAGTCAGGTTAGTTTAGGTCTAATTTATGATCTTGAGTTTCTTTCAAACATCTGGCAAACATCCATAACATCATTTGTTGCTTTCTCAAATGTTTCAAACACCCTGTTGATGCATGATGTCCTGCACACAGCTTGAATCCACAGTGCACTCGTGTGGTCATAACTTTTATAGTAAACAATCACTGTGGATACAAGATACTGGAAATGTGTGTGTGGGCCTGCATACTGACACGTGTGTCAGCATGTGGGGTTTTTGTTTGCATACTTCACGCTTGTGCAAATGTGTGCCCGTTCCGATAAACCATGTCACGCTGACAGCACAAAGGGACGCAAATTGTTATGAATGACTTTCTGAATTTCTCCACCTTAGTCACAATCTGTTTAATTTCCCGTTACGCATATAAATCTTTCTTTATTCTTACTTCTTCTATTCATTCTCGGCTATCTTTGATGGATTAAGTGGATTTAGCGGGTGAAGTAATTCAGGCCTTCTCTTGAATTCACCTGGTCAGTGCAGGTGTTCTTGTTATTTTAAAGTTCACAACAAAAAGTTCCAGTGTTCCTCCGCAGCAGGGCGTCCTCTGGCTGTTTGCTCTGCCGGTTGATGAAAAGTTCAACCCTCTGTGCTGCGCTCTGCAGTGATACTGAATATTGCTCAGGAGCATTTGGTAAAAACACGACTTTGTGTCTCTGCGGAGTGGACTAAGATAACAGAGCAGAGTTACAGTATGTCAGCACTAAAGCACAGTCCAGGCCTTGGCTTGCTGAGATTGTCAAAGCCAAATAAAAATAAAGTCATTCATATTCTGGATTGTACTTAGCTTCGGTTGCAGGCCAGGTCACGACAGGGGCATTTGCTTAAGTTACTACTGCAGAAGTTATTGGCAAAGGGTGGACAAATAAACTTAAAATGATTGAATTTTTACTTGTGCAACTCGTGTTATGTTGTCATTGTTGTGTTGTCTCTGTTGTTAATTTTTTGGAGTATTTTGTGCCACTAGCCTGCCAAGTTGGAAGCTTTGGAGAAAACTGCCGTCTGTCCTGTGACTGCAGAGGAGCTCCTTGTCATCCCATAACTGGGCAGTGTGTCTGTCCTGCTGGGAAGAAGGGACAGTCCTGCCAGGAAGGTATTTCTTATGTTACACTGTCCTTTAATAATAGTTTTACTCTGATTATGCTGTGGGGAGAGAAAACCAGTTTGAACTCACTGACTTTACAAGCTCGCGATATCTTTAGCTCTCTGGTGTTTGTGTTCTTTGTGCTTCTCTATGCCGAATCAATTAGAAACTTGACATTTGCTCTGCAGCTTACTTGCCCAGTGTGAAGTTTTACCATTTTCAGAGAGCAATTTAATACATTTCTTCCCCAGATTATTGAAACGTAAGTGGCTTTAGAGCTATACAGCGAAATAACAGACATAAGTGGCTTACTGAGCAGTTAATCTGAAAGATGCTTGCTGCTTCCCAGACTGCCCTGATGGATTCTGGGGGTTCAAGTGCCAGTCTTCCTGCCCTGACTGTGAGAACGGCGGCTCCTGCAACAAGCAGACTGGTACGTGTGACTGCGAGCCAGGCTTCATGGGAAAGCTCTGCGAAAATGGTGAGTTGATTAAATTTCTGACATTCTAGAAAAAAGAAAATATTGTAATAAACCCAGTGTGTAAGATTTGGTTGACATAAATGTAAATGATACCATAATTGTGAAGCTTTTAATGTGCAGTGCAAGAATTTGATTTTCTGTCTTGGAACATGTTTGCTTCTTTCTCAGATTGGTGTGTTTTAAAGAATAAAGATAAAAGCACCACAGTTGGACCAACTGAGATTTTGGAATGCAACTTTAAAAAGAGAGAGAGAGAGAGAGAGAGAGAGAGAGAGAGAGAGAGAGAGAGAGAGAAAAGTGACAATTAAAGTAGTTTTATTGATGAAGAACCTGTTGTACACAGAGTGTCCTGCAGGATACCACGGACCAGGCTGTCTGACTCGCTGTTCTTGCCATCCTGATGCCAGTTGTGACCCACAGACTGGACACTGCAACTGCCCTTCTGGCAAAAGAGGCCACGATTGTGCAGCATGTAAGAACTAGTTTGACAAACGAATGAGAACATCAAAATAGCAAAGACGGCAAATCATGTAATATATCAATAACTTGATCTTAACTTTAACTATTTGCAAATATTCGTAGCATGTGAACCTGGTTTCTGGGGCCAAGGCTGCAGCACTAAATGCCAATGCCAGGACGGTTCACTGGGCTGTGACTCAGTCAGCGGTCAGTGTGTGTGTGAGGCCGGATTCACCGGAGACCACTGTGAAAAGAGTAAGTTCACATCTGACGACAGTATCTCAGAGTTGAAAAATGTATAGTTTAGTAAATGCTGCCCCCATGCGGTGATTGCAGTTATAGCATGTTTTGAGTCAAGTCACTGCCCTGGTGTGAAAGTACTTTTCTGGATATTTAACTTTATGCTGAAACATGTGTTTCCTCAGATTTTACATAGTTCCATGTTCTATGGAGCTCTCCATATCTATCACTAAACGTGGAAATAAGACTGAAAGAATTTAACAACCTGCATTTTGTAGCCTTCGGGTGACTAAAAGTTCAAAGTTTCAAAGATTCACGATTTTAAATATGGTGTTGCTACATATACTCATATGTTTTCTGTGTTATATTTACACATTTTCCCATCCACAGAGTGCATTAATGGCACTTATGGTCAAAGTTGCGTCCAGCAATGTCAGTGTGAGAATGAAGCGCTCTGCGACTACGTGAGTGGTGCCTGCACATGCTCCCCTGGATATGCTGGCACGTTCTGTGAAAAAAGTAAGCCCTCTGTTGTTGCTAATGAGTATTTATTATACGATTTCTTTTTCTTTTAGGGGAAATATGAAACTAGCGTAACTAGCCTATCTTGTCTGATATGTTTGTTGTCATTTTTACCTTTATTCACTCTTAAATGTCTCCAAATTGTTGTTATATAATTTTAGCAAATTTGAGCAACAGCTTGATTTAAGATACACTTTGTACTTTTCATAAATTCATAGGAACGACAACATTGTGTTAGTGTACACAAGAGTGTATTTTGAAAGGCATGTGATTTTGATTTAGTATCTATCTTTTTTTTTCTTTTCCACCATAAGTATAAAACCTTGGAAATATATCATTTTGCTCATGTTTTCTTAAAAGTCATGACATAACTAATCCAAGATTACCTCTCACTACCGCTGATCCATTTCTCTACTTCTCCTTCTGACCCAACAAGACACTTTCTCAGCCTACCCAACGTATTTGGTTTATTTAAACTGTATTTAAACATATTAATCTTGATGGCACTAATAGTTTACTCTGATCCCCATTGGCGGGACAACATTGTTCACATTTGCCTCCAAAATAAATCTGAAGTGATCCTACCACAAGTGGACTCACTTGAATATGAAACCCACACAGATATTTTCCCTCAAATGATCTGAGGAAAGTTGTTCCCATCATTCAACCTTGATTCAACAAGCAAAGCTGCAATTTTTTAAATTGGATTTAGATTTTAGTTTATCTGTCAATCTATCAATTACTGAATACAGAAAATGAATCAGTGGGAACTTTGATGGTCTGTTATTTGTTAAGTAATTTTCCAGGCAAAAAGGCAGATCATTCCAGCTTCTCATTTGTGAGGTTTTACTGCTTTCCTTTGGATTTATGGTGTAGTAAACTGAATATTTTGGGGTTTACCCGAAGCTTGAGCAAACTGTAAATAACATTTTTTAGTTTACTCAAATCCACCTTTTTTTCCCAGATCAAATAATGAATATCTTATTTGACAAAATAATCACCAGACTATTGGATAATAAAAGAAAAGAAAAATAAATCACTACTTTCAGTCTTAAATTTCATATTTAATAATAGCTGTGTTACAGAATAGAAAAACAGTGACAGATTAAAGGAGAGGCACCAGTTTTATGCTCTTATTTGCTGTTAAACTGTCCATGTTGACCTTGTTGACCTCTGAGTGATCTAGAAAACCTGTTGGCTCCTTTGGTGAATCCCATCCACACTGAGGCAACACTGCTTCTTACCTTTACGTTAGCACTCTTTAACTGTTGATGCACTAGAGGGCGCTGCAGGACATTTTTCTGATTTTTTTAGCCTCTTGCGCCGTTTCAGTGAATCATCATACAGATTCAATGAATCATCACATTGTCCGTGTAATGTCATGAAGGAAACCATTTTAAAACCACATCCAAATCCGAAGATGTAATTTATATTAGTCATTCTGGGATAGACTGACTGTATTTCATGCGCTCGAGAGTCTTTGCAAGAAGGCTGCCACAGCAAACCCTTCACATAACTAATATTCATCTCATCATTACGATATTTGTCCAGAACTGCAAGACACAGCAACAGTCCAGGAGTTTTAACCATGTAACAGATTTGTTCTTGATTATAGTCTTTTCACTTGGACTGGCCTCGTGTTATTACAAAGTGTAAGATTTACTGTGAGTGTACTACCAGGCCCAGAAATTCATACCACCTCCGTAGTACGCAGGGCATCGTAAATCATGGCCCGTGTCACACTAGAACAGAGCTTCACATCCCTAGTCATAACAGTCTAATGGCCTCAGATGTAGTCGTCACTCTGATTGGACGTTGCTGTGGAAATGGGGCTATCGCTCCGACCAGATTTTATTTTCTGAAGGCCCGTTCCCCTCAAACAGAGGTGTCCAGTTTCTCAGTCTTCTGCTGGGCCTCTTCCTTCAGGAGAAGTCAGGAAGAGGCCTGCACTGTGAGAAGGTCCAGATCACTTTAGTTCATCTGTTTCGCAGAATTAAAATGGAAAGAAAAGACTTTCGGCGCTTGATGCAACATTGGCAGTTTTCTTTCACGCACTTGTTATTACTACGTGGCTCACAGTTTACTGTATATATCCGTTGAGCAAATAAAATAAAAACGGCTCCGTGAGAGTCATATAGCTCATTACTATGGCAAAAGCACTGTTTGATTGAGCATTCTTGTGGTGCTGAGGGTTGACGCTAAACATTTCAGTCAAGTCCTATCGGAGGAAAGGGGGCCTTTGTGCTGACACGGATCCAGCACACCACTTCTTCAATTAACAAGGATTGTGCCGCGTTTCTGGTCTGCAGCTTTGATGTCTGCATCAAAAAAACAGTTCATTTGGTCGCAGTTAAAAAAAAACTCTGCTCCGACTAGCATTGAACATCCGCGTTATTGTCGAAGAAACGGGGGTTGTTTTGTTGTTGTTGTTGTGTTGACCTCTTTCAGCGTGTAAAACCCTGAATGGCACCAGGAAGTTCTATTCTGTGTTCGCTCTATCCGCTCTATTTCTGTGGTCTGCTCTCCCCCGGCTGTGTGGTCCCTGGACCTGCTTTATGGGCTGACAGCAGTGGCTCTTACACAACCAGGGATCTGGAAATAATCCTGCTGTCTTAAAGAGCTCATTTAGTCTAGAGATGAAGTCTTTCAGCGATGGCACAGTGTGTGTAGGTGTGTGTGTATGTGTGTGTGTGTGCGCGGTGGACTGAATCCTCTGTGCCCACCTATAAACAAAGACTCAGAGGGAAGAGTCCACATTTACAAACACGAGCAGACACTGTGCTAATATCAGATGACAGATTGCAGGTCTGTGGTTAAAATGGAAACCGGTCGCCCCCTGCTGGCATATACAAATAATAAACTTTGCCATTCAAAAATGCCACAATGCCTTAAGATTTAGTGTAAAGTATGTGCGCTGCTGTAAACTTTGTCAGCTTAAAAGGAAGATCAGTGTTTAACACGTGATTACTGTTTGCGATATACAGAAAGAGAGTATCTCTCTATGTTCAGATTTTAATATCAGAAACGTGTTGAATCAGCCAATAAATGACATATCAGAGTAACATTCTTCCTGCAGGACAAGCGAGACCAGCTTGTTGCCATGGTGTCAGCAACTGCTATCATAATAATAAACAACAGACAATAAACCAGTGATTTTTGCTACAGTGCTGCCGCAGAGTTAATGTGCAACTGGATTAAAATGACAGCATCCTCAGTGGGCTAGCTTTAATAACATCGCAGCCTAACCACTACAGAGGCAGGCGAAGACGTCATGCTGTCAGCGTGGGAACACATTGACGGCCATGCCAGAAACTGCTGAGCAGGAAAGATACTTTTCCCAATTTGAGGCCTTGAGGCAGAAAAGGAGGAGTGGACGGCATCATCCACTGGAGCGAGGGGAAGGAGGGTATGATGCATTTACTGTAGGGGAACACCCTGAGTCCTGTGGCATTTAGAATACATAAAAATCCCAGAGTTACAAGTTTCTGTTGCGCTCCAAATCTGCGGCTTCCTTTGGTCACATACTGCTTTCCTTAAAGATAGAAGAAGAAGCGGTGCATAAATGGAATAAAAAAAAAAACTGCTGGCTACTGAGATAATTGGGACAGACTGTACCCAAACCTTCCCCACGCTCAGATTTTCTCACATATTCCTGCAACAGAAAATAGAGAAGGGTACTTGAAGAGAGAAATGTCTGCAGCGACTGTCAGTCAGTCAAACTTTGGCAGAGCAAGAGCAGCATTCCTGCAAATACAGACCAGAATGGGAGAACGTCGTGTTTTTCGCAGAATGCAACTATGCTGGGGTTAGTCTGTGATCTCTACAGTGACAAATTGAGCGATCAAAAATAGGCCGTGAATAAACAGAGTCATTCTTTCCTGCTCTGGTGAAGTCATGCTTGCAGACAATATTTACATCCCAGTAGTGGAAAGGCTCATTCATCCCACAGCCTCTGGTTAGGTTCTTCTGGATGGGAGGCACAGTGTTTACCAAAGCCTGCGAGTGTCACTTGACTTGTACACACACTTAAACAATCTCTGCCGCTCTCCTCCACAATGGGAAACAGACTCGCGCGCTGGCATCTCCTTGCATCAGCGGCGATACTGTAGGTGTGTGCATGTGTGCACGGCAACCAGGGCTTTGTTTTGCTGTGTGTTTGGTGGGGCCTGTGGACTCAGCAGGTGCTCTATTTACCGGCTCTTTGTCCACCCCCCCTTCCCCCCCTCCCGAAAGGGAACGGCCTCCGAGCCGCCGTAAACTTTGATGTGGCCCAGATCCACCACACATGTGGGACATGAGCTCACTTAACGAACGCAGACGCTCTGCAACAGCCGCAGCGTGGTACTGCAATTTGATATTGGTATTTTCAGTAGGTGGCAGGACAGAGAGGGAAAGTAGGAGGAGGTGGGGGAGGAGTAGGAGGAGAGGGTGAGAGGTGGGGAAGGGAAGAGAAAGAACTAAATAAAAATAAAAAAAAAAAAAAAAATATTGGCATCTAAACCTTTTCCTCTCCTCTTTTGTGAAGCTGCCAGTTCTAACCAGTCGGATGTTTTATCTTGGCCCACAGTGTGCCCGGACGGCTTTTACGGTCTTGACTGTGGCCAGATGTGCGAGTGCAGGAACGGTGCCCGCTGCCACCACATCACAGGAGCCTGCCTATGCACCGCCGGCTGGGCAGGACCACACTGCATTCTGGGTAATGGAAGCCACATCATTAAAACAGGGTGTGAGGGAGGCCCTCACTGCAGCCCATCACGACATCCTCTCCTTAAGCACAACTATGATGTGTTTGCGAACAATTATCTCTATAATGAGACATTGCCATTGACTTTTTTTAGGGATGGGTAAAGGGTGGAGAAGGGAGGGGGGGACAGCAGAGCCCTCTGGCATACACGGTTTAATTGAGGTCTATTCTAGCTAAATGCACCCACATGTATGTAGTGATCAACATTAGCAAAGGGAGAACATAACTTGGAAGGAGCCTGTTAGTAGCTGTGTTCTCATGCTAAAGTTTCTTGAGGATTTCATGCCGTTGTTTTAATGAAGCCAGTGAAATGCCCACTAAAGCTCTTAGTCTGTCATTCTGCAGTCTTATTCAAGACTTTCCTCTTGCCACAGCCCTTTTGTGGTTCTAACTACCCGAGCCAGAGTCAGCAGAAAGCCACCAGCATGACTTAATGGTGCATCTCTATCATTAGCACATTTTCCTCTCTCCTAGACCCCAAATGTCATCGTGAACTTTGATCATTAATGAGAAGTTTGCAATATGTGTGCTCAAACCATAATGTCGCAATATATCATTTAGCCCTCTGGTCTCGTACATTTTGCTGTGGATGTAGCTGCGGTGCAATTTAGGGTAACGCTGAATGTGTTTTGTGTGTGTGTGCGTGTGTGTGTGTGTGTGTGCTGTATTACGCTGTCATGTGTGCATGTGCCTGCCTGTGTGTGTGTGGTTTGTGTGGGCAGAGTGCCCAGAAGGTCATTTTGGAGAACAGTGCAGTCAGACCTGTGAGTGTCAGAATGGAGGCGGGTGTAACCACGTCACCGGGCAATGCAGCTGCACGGCCGGGTGGACCGGGGTCAGGTGCCAGCTGCGTGAGTAGCTCATCACTTAAGTAGCTAAACACTCAGCGTGACAAATGTTGTATCAAAGCTGTCCAGTTTATGAGCCACACTGTGTATTTTCTCTGCTCTTAAATGCTGGTTTTCATTGTTTTTTGTCCAATATGAATATCAATTAGCACTTGTGTTGTCTTCTCATCAACGTATTCAGTTTGACCAACAGATTCTGATTATAGATTATAATCATGAGATAATAATGGCTTCTGGGAAGTGTTGACAGTAAATCTATAATTGTATAACCTGTGATAAAATGATTGACAAGAACTGAAAAGTAGACATTTGTAGTCAGTGAAATAGCATTTTTCTATCACACTAATTTGGTTCTGTATTAAAGGTGGTGCTTTTAATATTATTTCAGAAGTTTGAGATCAATATTTACAAACCCTCTGAACCCCAAGCAGTTTCTTTACCCCGTCACATTTTTGTACATTTTTCATTTGACATTTTTTGTACTTGCTATAAAATCACCACTATGGAAACAACACAACAACAGCAAGAAGCAGAGAGAACTGCAAAATATCCTTTGTGCAGTTTGTGCAAATTATGATGCCATGAATCACAAGAAAGTGAAAAAAATCTAAGTTTTCTGTGATTATTTATCTTACAAGAATAGAAAAAAAAACCTGGAATCAACATGCACAACATTTTTTCCAAAGTGCTCTACATACTCTTAGACATTTCATATTTTCAATTTGTTTCCTTACTTGTCACCTGTCTGCTCTGTGTAAACACAGCCAGCAGTTCAGCCCAGGTCAACTGAAAAATCCCAGCATTTTTGCGACATGACCGTCGGTTGCAGCAGAGTTACTGAAATCTTCATGGGGCTGATGAGTGCAGAATTTTTAGTTCTTAACAAGATCTGGGTAGAGTTTATTTTTGGCAGTTCTTTCAATGAGACGTAAAGTAACATGATTTTGATGAAATATGATTTCAGGCTTACATTTGTTTGTTTTCCCTGATAGAACCGCATGCTACAAACATAGTTTTCCAAAAAAAACAAAAAACAAAAACAACCTTTTGTATGATGTAGCTTAGTTTCTTGATCTTTAAAGCCATTCATGTCATTAACTTGTTACTGTTGTGCGTGTGTGGGCTCAGCCTGTCCTGCAGGACAATATGGAGAACTCTGTTCTGGTCAATGTCTCTGTCAAAACGGAGGCTCTTGTGATCACGTGAGTGGCCGGTGCTCCTGCCCACCAGGGTGGACCGGACCTGCTTGTGAATTAGGTGAGTCCTAAAGCACAATGGATTGTGTAACTCTTAAAGTTACTTCTCTTGATTAAACATTTTGTACCTGTCACTGTTTGTAATCCAATGTCTTGGCAAAACCCTGCTGTATTTCTGAGATAAATGATTTCTTAACCTCCATGTTAAGCCTCCTTTCTCTCTCCTAGAGTGTGAAGAAGGACATTATGGAGAGGACTGCACTCAGGCCTGCAGCTGCATGAATGGAGGGAGATGTGACAGAGTGACAGGGAAATGTGCATGTCTGTCTGGTTGGGTAGGGGAGCTCTGTCAATCAGGTGACTTTCTGAACTTAACTTCCACACTGTTGTATTACAGCATGTTCCATAGTAGAGTTTTTCTCCACTGCCTGCTCATATATCTTGAAAAACAGGTAGAAGTGTAACATTTCTCTCACCATCTTGCACCTGTGCTGCATTTGCTAACATCGGTACAGCAGCAGATAAAGTAATATTGTTTGCTTCTGCAAAAATGCTGTGTCAGAACAGTTTGTGCAATTAGCATTGGGTAAATACTGTAAACATGCATAAAGGGAGCATTTTCAGCTTTGTTCTCAGGCTCTAATTGTACGTTTTGTCTGAAGCCTGTTCTAAGGGATTCTTCGGCGAGCGCTGCGAGCAGAGGTGTGACTGTGTCCACAGTTGGAGTTGCCACCATGCGACGGGCCGCTGTGAGTGCGAGCCAGGCTGGAGGGGAGCCAGGTGCGACAAATGTGAGTGTGCGCAGGAGCGAGGAAATTGCAACTGAATGAAACTGGCAATAAAAAGAACACGACAGTAACGTGACTGTGTGTCCCTGCGTGTGGTGCATTCACCGTCAGCCTGCCTCCCGGGGTTCTACGGCGCTTCCTGTGCCCAGCGGTGTCAGTGCCAGACCGGAGTGTCCTGCCACCATGAGACGGGGAGTTGCGGCTGCCCGGCCGGACTCACAGGGCCTGGCTGCGAGAAAAGTGAGAAAAATCTATCGCTGCAAAAGCAATTTACTTTATTGGTATCGTCAGTTGTAGCTGTTTTTTTAAATGTAGTTTCCACAAACCTCCTCTGTTTATAACTGACTGTTGGGAAATCCTTGGCAAGAGTCACGAGGATGCATTTAAAACCATTTGGGCAAAGTTTGTGGCTTCTTCATGGAAACACTGTCACTGTCGAAATGCACCACTCTCATCTGCATCACTGAAGTGATCACCAAGAATCATTCTCTTAATACTGATTTAAATTCCCTTTTTTTTTTTTGCCCCTCTCCCTCCTAGGAAAGATTACTGTTTATTCCATTCTAGGAAATACACTCCACCCCTGCACTAGACCTTCACTGTCTGAGGACTTTATGAGAATGTTTCATTATTTGGACCTTCAGGACTGTATACGAGCGGCTTCACTTCTCAGCCCCTCACTGCTCCATCTCACACCCCCCCACTTACGGCCTCAGCTCCCTTCCTCTCCTCACATACTCCCCAGACATCTGATAAATGTTACACACCGGTTGCCAAGTAAAACAGAAGGCATTGTTTTTGTCTCCTCGGCGGCGGATAAGGGCTTTTGGAAGGCAGACATGCATAATGACAGCGCCGTAATTGCCTCTTTAGTCTGGAGTCCTTTCTTATCTGTCCCCCACGCTGCCTGCTGCTGCCTGACTGAGTAGCTGAGTGCTACGGTCTCACCCAAAAACATGTTCGGTTCACAGATTCATCTTGTTCGCTATGACTGATTGTCCGGGGACTTCATTCATTATTGTGATGAGCGTATACGTATGTATGCAGAAAGGCTGTGTGAAAGAATGTCCCTCTGTGTCCGCCTGGGTTCGGGCACCAGGGAAAGCTGCTGGGAGTTTTGGTTTTGTTACTAGTCAATACTGAATGTCCCAGTACGTTCACAGAATAATCTGAGGAAGGAAAGGGAAATGCAATGTGTCTTTGTTCCCACAAACTACTGAATGTGTGCATGTTTGAGGCCTTAGCTGCTGTCCTAATTTAACTGAGACTACACTGCACAATGTAATAATTTAACATTGTGTTGAGGTTTCATTTGTGTTTACTCAGTCATTTTAGGTATGCGAAAATAGAAAAGTGAAAGCTACAGTTCAAGGACATTATTCAGTTTGGTACCTTTTGATTTTACAAACATTAGACAAATATAGAGTACTGTAGATCCCAAAACACCTCTCATTACCAACATAGGTTAACACTCAAAACCTGATAGAAATTGCATTCACTTAATTCTCAGAACCACAAACTGTTTCAAGACATTTGCTCCTGTCACATTTTTCCTCACTGTGAGCTCATTTTTCATTGCAATATAAAGAAACAGCATAACAATAGGTAGAAGTAACGAGAACTCAAACACGTTTTGTGCAGTAGAAGACAAATAAAAAAATCATTAAAATTAAAATTCAATTTTTGTTTATTTTACAAAAAATTGAAAAAAAAAAGAATCAATGTACAACATTTTGGGGGAAAAAATAGTTAGTTTTTTTAGGTTTTTTTCACATCACTGTTGGTCACATCTGAGTCACTGATGGCTTCATAGTTGCACTGAGGAGCAACATAGAATTATTTTTGGAGATGTAGTATAAAGTGATATTACAATTTTAAGCCTAGATTTGATTAACTTTCTTAATGATAATATATGTATATATATATGTTCAATGACCTTCTGGAAGTTGAAAATTCAACAATTCTTTATGTTTTCACAGTTTTTGGCTGATCAACATTGTAATTTTGGTGATTCTTAAAAGATAACAGCCTTTAAAATCAGCTGGTGAGTTTTGGGGTTCATAGGGTTCAAAAACTCACCATTAACAAGCAGGGTATACCGTAGCATTATTTATATATGTGTGCATGTATATATATATTTATGTGTGTGTTTGTGTGTGTGTGTGTGTGTGCATGTGTGTGTGTTGATTAAACGTATTGGTTGACCAATTTAGTCTGCTTAATCAGCTGATATTAAAGTAGTTTATGTTGAAATGACCAAATATGACAATCTTTAAACAATGCTGGTGTACCAGTATCTGTTTTGAGTGCAGCTCTGAGTATAGTGTTTGTATATTATTTACAAAGCTCACTGCTTCATGAAGCTCATGTTTGACTCCACTTCAAAATGTGGAGGTTCTGATGACCTGTGCATTTCAGAACATTTCCTTCCAAATGGTATTCCCTCTTCTTACTAAATATAAATAAGTACTCCCACTTCTGATTGCTGACGTATGCATGGTATGTTTCTGGCTGTATCATCTAGCCTGCCCCGCCGGCATGTTTGGGCAGAACTGTAGCCAACTGTGTCGATGTTCAGGAGACCAGGAGCAGTGTCATCCTGTGACGGGGAAATGTAGCTGCTTACCTGGTTACTACGGGCAACGCTGTGAGCTCCGTAAGTATGCTGTTCATTTTCTGTTGCATCAACTAATCCACGAGGTTAATATGATGATGATTCTTATTAAACAGGGAGTTTAATGAAAGGAAATGTATCAGGAACAATACTATTAACTCAACGCAAACCAGTCAGAACATCAGTACACATTTGTTCACCTGGCGTTTTGTCAAGATGCTGTTTTTACATTGACTAAAACCGACTATAATTGTTTCTAAATGTACATATCATGTCAATCACAAAAAACCCAACAGTAATTCTGCTAACCTGCCTGCTTTATTCCGTGAGTAAAATGACCAAAAGCTTTGATCAAACACTCATAGTGCGTAGCAACAATTCCGTCCCATGCTCTTTTTTCCTTTTTCTTTTCTTCCCTTCTTGTCGTCATTGTTTGTCTCCAGGATGTCGAACTGGGACTTTTGGGCCAAACTGCAAGTCCAGGTGCAGCTGCATCAATGGTGGCCGCTGTGACTTTAGGACTGGGACATGTTACTGTCCTCTGGGCTTCATTGGAGCTAACTGCAGCTTGAGTAAGTCAAGAAACCTTTAACATTTGTATCCCGAAAAGGAGTCTTTATTGTCATTTATTGGAGTTTTTAACAGTTTGTAATATGAAAAACCTACTTGTCTAGTCTAGTGCAACTTAGGTGACGCACAAAGCGTATGAAAGGAAGATATTTATCTCCATATGTTTTGATTTGTGTGAATGAAAGCATGTTTATTTCTGCAGCTTGTCCAAGTGGGTACTATGGGAAGGACTGTACTAAGTTGTGCTCCTGTGGGGAAGGAGGGCAGTGCCACCCGGCAACTGGGAGGTGTATCTGTGGCCCTGGTAGGATGGGACTGTCCTGCCAACAGGGTGAGGCTAAACAGCTAATATTTTATCAATACATGATACTTGTACAAAATTAGTAAAATACATATTTAAGGGAGTCAGAGAATAAGTTAAAAACACGAATACTGTGAGTAATAGATGTATTTTGGTTGAATATTCAACTTGCCATCATGGAGTTAATGCTTAAACTGAATGCATACTGGCACTTTATAATATAGTGGCAGTTGTGAGGCAAGAAAACAAAGGTATCTCTACAAAACTGCAAGAGCAAAAACCATATCACAGATGTCAAACAAGGTTTTTACTCAGCCTTTTATCTTTTTACTATTCTCTTGAGTATACAAAGAGTCACCACTGAGGCCAGCATGCATCATTTGGAAACACAGGCTCTAATGAGTTCTTTAGAAATAGGAGACCTATCTTAAAAAGTGAGACACAACCACTAAAATGAGGGTGTAGTTTTCAGCATTTTTCACTGTATATTTAAGTAACAAATTCTCCATTTCCTCAGTGTAAAGCCTCTGATGATCACAGGGCTTTTATTCCCGGGAAACAGAGGCAGAGCCGAGTTTTCTTAATCTCTCTCTTTATCAGCAATTCAGCTGGATTGCAAACGGGGCTTTCCAGCGCTGTTTGCACTAAACGTTCTCTTCTTTACCCTCCTGCATGTACTCGGACATACCACCTCTTAAGCTCCTCTTGTTGAATGTTTACAGAAACCTATAAGTAGCTCATTCTCTGTGTTCCGTGTCGCTGGATCTGGCAAGGAAGCAAATAAATAAACAGGGAAATCAAAGACGGCTTGCTTATTGTTTTCCCAATCTAAATTACCCAGAGAAACATGATTATTCTTTTATATCAGCGCCAAATTAGACTACTTTGCCATCTCTTTAATGAACTGTTGCTTAAATAAACAGGATTGTGGTTAGTGGAGTCTCATGTGTGTCTGTGTGTGTGTGTGTGTGTTTGTGAAAGAGACAGATAGACAGAGCACATGCTGTGCACTGCTGAACAGACAAGTCTGCAGCTCTTGTCACATTGTGATGCTTTGTGAATGTTTCTGCAGCGTGTCCCAGGGGGCGCTACGGCCTGCAGTGCAGAAACACGTGCAGTTGTCAGAACAGGGGTTTATGTGACCCGATTGATGGGTCCTGCAAGTGTGGACTGGGCTGGACTGGGACCCGCTGTGACACAGGTACAGCTTCAGAAACATGGATTCTGGTCATGGGAAGTCTCAGAACCTAGCGATCAACAACAAACCTCACCTAGCCATTGGAGTATTTATCCTTCTACTCTGACCTGATATACTTTTATTGAAATTTAACCCTGTAACACGAAGTGTGTCATATTTGATACATGAGTTTTTGAGACCTCTACAGGGAGTGCAGAAATATTAGGCAAGTTTTATTTTTGAGGATTCATTTTATTATTGAACAACAACCATGCTCTTAATTAACTCAAAACACTCATTAATATCAAAGCTGAATATTTTTGGAAGTTGGAGCAGGGCTTTTTTAGTTTTAGCTATTTTAGGAGAATATCTGTGTGTGCAGGTGACTATTACTGTGCATAATTATTAGGCAACTTAACAAAAAACAAATATATACCCATTTCAATGATTTATTTTCACCAGGAAAACCAATATAACAGCTCAACAATCACAAATATACATTTCTGACATTCAAAAACAAATCAGTGACCAATATAGCCACCTTTCTTTGCAAGGACACTCAAAAGCCTGCCATCCATGGATTCTGTCAGTGTTTTGATCTGTTCACGATCAACATTGCGTGCAGCAGCAACCACAGCCTCCCAGACACGGTTCAGAGAGGTGTACTGTTTTCCCCTCCTTGTAAATCTGACATTTGATGAGGGACCACAGGTTCTCTATGGGGTTCAGATCAGGTGAACAAGGAGGCCATGTCATTAGTTTTTCTTCTTTTAGACCCTTTCTTGCCAGCCACGCTGTGGAGTACTTGGATGCGTGTGATGGAGCATTGTCCTGCATGAAAATCATTTTTTTCTTGAAGGATGCCGACTTCTTCCTGTACCACTGCTTGAAGAAGGTGTCTTCCAGAACCTGGCAGTAGGACTGGGAGTTGAGCTTGACTCCATCCTCAACCCGAAAAGGCCCCACAAGCTCATCTTTGATGATACCAGCCCATACCAGTGTCCCACCTCCACCTTGCTGGCGTCTGAGTCGGACTGGAGCTCTCTGCCCTTTACCGATCCAGCCACGGGCCCATCCATCTGGCCCATCAAGACTCACTCTCATTTCATCAGTCCATAAAACCTTAGAAAAATCAGTCTTGAGATATTTCTTGGCCCAGTCTAGACGTTTCAGCTTGTGTGTCTTGTTCAGTGGTGGTCGTTTTTCAGCCTTTCTTACCTTGGCCATGTCTCTGAGTATTGCACACCTTGTGCTTTTTGGCACTCCAGTGATGTTGCAGCTCGGAAATATGGCAAAACTGGTGGCAAGTGGCATCTTGGCAGCTGCATGCTTGACTTTTCTCTGTTCATGGGCAGTTATTTTGTGCCTTGGTTTTTCCACACGCTTCTTGAGACCCTGTTGACTATATTGAATGAAACGCTTGATTGTTCGATGATCACGCTTCAGAAGCTTGGCAATTTTAAGAGTGCTGCATCCCTCTGCAAGATATCTCACTATTTTTGACTTTTCGGAGCCTGTCAAGTCCCTCTTCTGACCCATTTTGCCAAAGGAAAGGAAAATGCCTAATATTTATGCACACCTGATATAGGGTGTTGATGTCATTAGACCACACCCCTTCTCATTACAGAGATGCACATCACCTGATATGCGTAATTGGGAGTAGGCCTTCGAGCCTATACAGCTTGGAGTAAGACAACATGCATACAGAGCATGATGTGGTCAAAATACTCATTTGCCAGGGCCCCCCTATAGCTCACCTGGTAGAGCGGGCGGCCCATGAACAGGGGCTGTAGTTCCCCGATGCAGCGGTCGTGAGTTCGAATCCCGCTCATGACCCTTTGCTGCAGGTCTGTCCCCATTCTTCTCCCCCCTTTCCTGTCTCCCTCTACTGCACTTAATAAAGGCAAAGGCCAAAAAAATATATTTAAAAAAAAAAATATACTCATTTGCCTAATAATTCTGCACTCCCTGTACGTCATCAGTGTGATTTTTTTTTTCCTGAAAAACTTGATGAATGCAATCAGACACATGCAGTGCACAGACAGTCCATCATATGTCAGTAATTCATGCAACAAAACTGCCAGATGTAGGTAGCAAAAATGATACAAATTAAAACTCACATGTGCAATTTTTATTTATTTACTTTTTTAAAAATGTGTCACTCCAGTTTTAAAAAAAACAACAACAAGAAAAAAAACAAGTTTTCTAGCAAATATTTCATGGTTCAGGCTTTACAGGGTTAAGAAAAAAAACTTTTCACACTTTTCTGTTTTGTTTTCTTTGTGTTAAAAACTTTTGGCCATTTTTTTTGCCCAGCTGTTTGCATTTTTGATGCACTTTGTAATCCCTGTTGAAAAGTGCAAAATAATGTACATGTACTTTATATTGTCATTTGCTTCTTAAAAGTCACAAGTTCAGATTTACAGACATTTTTATATGACCGACAACATCCAATAAATGTCATTCAGCCGTATACGTCCCTGTTTGTATTTTAGTTTTGTCACACGTAACCACATTTTTTATATATATTTCTGTTGAGTGATGTTTTTTTATCATCAGTTTTTCTCATGAATACTTGTTTGCTTAGTTAAAAATTACAATCAGTTCTTGTGTGTGCATGTATGTGTGTGTGCAGCCTGTTTGCAGGGAAAGTATGGGCTTGATTGTGCACAAGACTGTCCATGCCTCAACAATGGGACCTGCGACCGTTTTACTGGCAGCTGCAGCTGTACTGCTGGATTCTACGGCCACTCCTGTCAACACAGTACGCAAACCTTCACTTATAATACATATAGAAACTTGGTGATGAGGTTACCTGAAGTCTCACTGACTCTTTGAAATGGATATGATCTTTTCTTTCCGAGTGAAACAGGTGACAGTTCCTGCCATGAATGAATGTTTATACAACATAAATACACGACTATTTTTAACCATGCCATGAAACAAGCAACCTTGACCCTAAGTTCTCTTCCTTGTGTTCTTTCCAGAGTGTCCGTCCGGGTATTTTGGAGTGAATTGTGCCCAAACCTGTGACTGTAAGGTGGGGCAAGATTGTGACCATGCGACAGGCAGATGTGTGTGTCCACCAGGTTACTATGGTCCACAATGCCAAAGACGTGAGTACATTATCTGTAATTAACCTAAAAGTTACTGATCCATAAAGCAGCAGCTAGAAATTGAAGCCAGTGCTGAAGCACCTAAAAGTGCAGTACAACTGAGGGTCAGTAGGGGCTGGCTCCAAAAATATGTGGCTCCAATAGAAACCCATTCAACAAGCCTCAACTCTCTCCCTCTTTTCAAACAAGCTCTCCAGAGAAGTTCGTTCTTTTATTCATTTTGACAGCGGTTAGACTGACAGCTTCATTTAACGGCCGACCATGAAAACTGACAGAGTCGAGTGCGGGAAACAAGCACAGGCGGAAGTGACGGGAAGACGAGCTAGTCATTTTTCAAAATAAAACAACCCGCTGACTCCGCCGGAAATAAAACAAACCAATAAAATGTTTTTATTCTTTCTGTGCGGCCTGGAACCAAATGACCCACGGCCCGGTAATGGTCTGCACCTTTGTGTTTGGGGACCGCTGCTCTAAAAGTCAATGCAAGTCAATGACTCTGTATATACAGAACATGGCAAAACTGTTTGTAAAATGATTAAGTACACAATTAAACAGATCCATTCATCCATCATCTATATACCGCTTAATCCTCACTAGGGTCAGGGGGGGCTGGAGTCTATCCCAGCTGACTTAGGGAGAAGGCAGGGGACACCCTGGACAGGTCACCAGTCTATCACAGGGCTACACTTAGAGACAGACAACCAAGAACACTCACATTCACAGAAAATTTAGAATCACCAATTAACCTCAACATGTTTTTGGACTGTGGGAGGAAGCCAGAGAACTCAGGGAGAACCCACGCTGCACGGGGAGAACATGCAAAATCCACGCAGAAAGAACCCAGGTGTCCTCACCAGGACACGAACCAGCGACCTTCTTGCTGCGAGGCAATGGTCCTACCACCGAGCCACCTTGTAGCCCAATTAAACAGATGTGAACAACAAATGTAGACTTACAGTCCCTTAATAGATATCTCATCCTTCAAGTATTCTTAAGTATGTGTTTTTGGGAATGCTTATAATTCAGCAGCACCATGGAGACAGAAACACTCATGCTAACAGTCACAAGTTTGTGCTCATTAAAAAACAGCCACCTGGATACCCAGCTGCGATTGTACATGGGCAGATATGAATGAATAAGAGACTTCCAAATGAAGAAGAAAAAAAAAACAGAAGACATGAGTGCGTTCTGGCAGAGAGACAGACAGGCTTTTAGGTAGGTGGGCAGGCTGGTTATTTGATGAGAGACAGGTGTTTCCTGACTGCTTAATGCGTTCTTGTTACATCCTTGTGCCCTCCTGCCTGCTCGTGGGGCTCTCAGCCGCAGTGTGAGCGCCTAAACGGCCACTTCAGCACCAGCAGGAGATATGAGTGAGCATTGAGGAGCAGCTGTAAGGCAATCACATGCTCCAGAGACGGACCATGTGTGAGAAAACGTCAGTCGCTTTGTATTAACCTGGAGTCGTATATGTCTGTTTGTGCTTGTGTATTTACTTTTTTGTGCCATAAATATGCAGTTGCAGTTTAATGTAGATGATCTGAAGGCTCATAAAGATAGAAAATGTGTTGGTCAGCATCACATTGTAAAAGTCTATATTTAACTTTGTGGGGTTTAGAAAAAAAAATGACAGAACTCTGGATTGCATTCCTGTTATATTAGATAATGCTGGTTGTTTTAATGCATCCACTGCAGTTTATTCTGATATTTTTCTGTGCACATAACCTGATAAGACTAACAAAAACGGAATTTAGTGCCTGTCTGATAATGAACCAGTAGTTTGTACCTCTAGTAGTTTGTAGAGGAGAAGGTTTTGTTGTTAAAGAAAATGATGCAATGTATTCAGAACTACTGTAATGCAATGGTGTGTGTGTTTTCTGGTTCTCAGGTTGTGAAGCTGGCAGCTTTGGGTTGAGTTGTGCAAAGTCATGTGACTGCGCTGGTGAAGCTCCATGTGACCCATCAACAGGACGGTGTCTTTGTCCCCCAGGGAGGACAGGACAGAGATGTGAAAAAAGTAGATGTCACTTTGAGCAAACTGGACTTTAACTCACACAAATTAAAACAGAGATTCAGAAAATAATTGTTATTTTTTTATGTCTCCCTTGTTTCCACTTTATCTTCTCTTTCTCAGACTGCGGTGGAGACCGTTTCGGCCCCGACTGCTCCCTGCGGTGCCAGTGTTCCCACAGGGCTCGCTGTGATGGGGTGAGCGGGCGATGCCTCTGTCCGCTCACCTGGCTCGGTCCAACTTGTAGTGAAGGTAAACCTGAGCTCCTCCTGCCACTCACACACACACACACACACTCAAACACACACACGGGGGTTGTCAAGCTAAAATAAAATGGACACATGCACACCAACGCACACAGACACACACAAGGTCAAGGGCTGTAAAGCTGAACCAGCTTTAGTGAAATACTGTGTCGTGAAGTGTGAGAGGCTGAGCCCCATCACTCTGTGTATCACCCTGTCTCCCTCAATAGCAGCTCCTGTCTCCTGACAGTTATTTTAATCTGCACCCAGCATGAAGCCGGGCTCGAGGCTGTCTTCGTTTTACCTCCTCAAAGCCAAGCACACGGGAGACTACATAGCAGTTACTTCTCCTCCAAAAAACCCCAGAACATTTGCTTTTGATTTTCAAATAGTGCTGATGTCTTTCTGCCTTTTTTTCCCCCCTTCGTTTTCAGCACTGCTGCACCAAACTCCAGGAGTACTGAACTTCTCTGTGTCCCAAAGAAAGAGAAGAGCAGGCAGCAAAACCACATAACCCAAGCAGAGGTGCAAACTGCTGGCTGGACGTTCAAACACAGGACTTGGCTCGGCGAGGCATTACTCAGATCATCTTGGTGAAGGTGATGTTGGTATTAAAATGTTCTGTGAGGCTGGTATTCGGCTGTCAGAAACTGGCACTCCATCACCGAGCCTGGAGCTCGAGACAATCAGCCAGTGGACCTGGCATATGAGAGGCCTTCAAAGGACCATAAACTCAAAACCTCCTCTAGTCTGTCTGAGATTTAAAATCCAGGGCTGCACAGGCTTCTTAGCAATACACCCAAATACTTGATTCACATTTGTTACCATTGCTGATTGAAAGTGGATCATTTTCTTTCCAGTTTGACATTTAACGTGCTGTTAAGGGTTCCTGAGTGCATTCGGGCCCGTACATGCGACCCTTTACAACCTCTGCTAAAATCTATTTTTTACTGCGTGTGTCCCTAAAAACACTTGAGTGTGAAAGAATTCCAAACATATTTCTGGTGGAAATTAAATGTCTAAAACAGATTTAGAAAGAATATGAGTGACTTATTCTGAGAAAAAAGTAAAACACATACAGAGCCTGGACAAGTACGGTACAGAAATATAGTCCAATAAAAATAAAATAGAATGGATTATTATGTAATTCACTTAGTGACTCGCTAAATGCTGAAATGAGTCTCTGTCATATGCAGGCAGAATCTTCTCATTACATTTTTCTTTTCTGTGTGTGTCTGTTGTCTTGCTTATAATTTGTTGACACATTTTTATGCTTTGACTTCACATTTGTCTTATATGTTTTCCCAAAAGTATTGCAGCTCAGGTAACAACAGTTGCTCACTTTGAGACATACGAATGAAGTGAAACCCACCTTAACTTATTTAACTGTCCACACGCCCACTTTTCTGTTTAAAGCCCCGCATATAACATGAATAGCCTTCATCCATCAGCGCTGCATCAGTTTTCTTTGTTGTATTGCTGTATGCTGGTTTGCAGAAACCTGCAGCATTGCACTTCTTTGAGATCTGTGTTTATTGAGCCAGCGATTGATACGGAGTTGAAATGAAGAAAACATGACATTAATGATTTTTTTCAGCAGTGCTTATACACTTTTTTTGGGTTATTTTTACAGGTGTGCAATATTAAAAGCCCTTTGTATGACAAGATAAAATCACAAGTCTCGTATCACGGTGATCACTTACAATACATGTGCATTTTATTTGAATGTTTTCAAAAACTGTATTTTGTAATGTATCTCAGGTCAGTGCAGTTGTTTCAGTTGTAACCTCCTGTGCTCATTTCCTGACTTATCAGTGGTGCTACATTGTATAAAATTGATAGATTCCATTTATCAGTCGATCCATTATGATTTTTTTGTGTCTTTTTCATCTGTGGTCGTGTTGTGATAGGAAAGGAAAGAAAGCCATGAACCAAATAAATAACACATCTGTGGACATCTTGCTTTTAACCATCTATTTTTATTTTTTTTTGAAGTGCGTGCTTTGAATGCAGTGTTGCATGGTATTGATTTCTGCGATCCCTGACTGGGGTGGGAGGTGGGGGCGATAAGGTATGGGTGTTGAGAAAAGGAGGGGGGCGCGAGAGGTTCCAGCTGTCATAGAGAACTATGGGGTCCAGTGTGCGCGTATATGTCAGTGCGCATATTTGTGCGAGGCTACTACCAGGCATCTCTCATCAGCCAGGGCAGGGTCAAGCATTAAGGCCTCCCTGATAGAAAGCTAAAGTGTGTATGTGTGGGAGGGGCGGGTGAGGGGGGCACCTGAGCAGGCTACTCCGGTGTTGTGAGGTGTGTGCGCTGGGTGTCAGCATCAGAGAGCAAGTGCGGTCTCCCCGAGGCATTTTTCAAGTGCACTGAAGCGTTTTTTTCCCCTCCTATTGGCCAAAGGCGGCCGTGGTCCGGCAGAGGCAGGCAGGTGCCTGGACCGAACATGCCCCCCCCCTCCATCTCCAGCATCCCTGGGGTGAGTGATGGGTGAACGGGCTCACCAACGGAGGATGGAGCCC